ATGGAAAACATGGTGACAACGCTTTGAAGTGTCTACCGTCGAATTCGTCGGGACACGATGTGTGTCGTAACGAGAATTATATTAAGTGAAATGAATACCTGTGGTTGAATAAGGGCATTTTCCAGACTTCTAGGACAGTGGGATTTGTGACAGAGTGCATTGAAACGGTGTGGTACTTTGAAACGGACTGTAGACATTTTCAAAAAGTGATTTAGAATTACAGTTCAGTTGCAGCCAGGAGTAGGTTTCAATATGACGAAAGGTTTGTATATTTAATCATTTGGATATGTAGGGAAATATGTTGGAAAAGTATGAATGAGGTAAATGGTTGTTCACGTCGCAGTTTTTACTCACTAGCTTATTTTTCTGTTATTTATGAGATAATATGTAAAATTCTAGTCACTGACTTATGTTTCTGTAATTGTAAGATAATGTAGGAATTTCTGTTCACTGGCTTGTTTTTCTATAATTCTAAGATAATATGTAAAATTCAACTGACTGGCTTATCTTTCTGTAATTATAGTATAATGTAGTAAGTGTCTGAATTTCTGTTCACCTCAATTTCTACTCACTAACTCCATTTTCTATAATTTCGTTTCTAATCTTGAGTTAGTGAATAGAAATTTTTATGTAAGAAGTTATTTTTCTACAATTCTATTCACTATGGCTTATCTTTTTATAATTTCAAAATGACATGTATCATTTTTCTATAATTTTAAGGCAACAAATTTGTATCACTAACTCACTTTTCTGTAATTATAATATAATATGTATAGTAAGTGTTTGAATTTCTGTTCACCTCACAATTTCTACTCACTAGCTCTATTTTCTATAATTTGCTTTCTAATCTTGAGTTTGTGAATAGAAATTTTAATGTAAAAAGTTATTTTTCTACAATTCTGAGATAATATACAGATTTCTATTCACTATGGTTTATTCTTTTATAGTTTCAAAATGACATGTATCAGTTTTCTATAATTTTAAGGTAATCAATTTGTATCACTGATTTATTTTTCTATAATTCTGAGATAACACAAATTCTTTTCAATGGCTTATGTTTCTATAATTGTAAGATAATATACAAATTTGTATTTATTGCTTTGTTTTTTATAATATGAAGATAATAGTAGTAAATATTGCAATTACTCACACTCTCTATACACACATTTTCTATAGTCTATAGTCTACATTTCTATAGTCACAATTTCTGTACAATTTCTTTTTTTCCCACAATTTTATATGCAATCTTATAAGCCAATGAGTAGAAATTGTGACATCAACAGAAATTGGGATATTTACTGTATGTACATAAAATTCTAATCACTGATTTATTATTCTACGTATAATTCTAAGATACTATAGTAAATGTACTGTCTTTTTGTCCTATAATTTTATATGCAATCTTATAAGCCAGTGAGTAGAAATTGGGACATTTACTATACATAATATTATGCGTTATTTTTTTATAATGCTAAAATAACATAAAATCGCAGAAAAATGCGCCAGTGAGTAATAATTATGTCGTGAACAGCAATTGGGACATTTACCTCATTTCTTTTACTATGATTATCTAATACCAAGCATCGTGTCCCATTTAATAGCGCAGTGTGATTAGCATGCGATTAAAAATAAAACGCAAAACGTTTCTTGCGGCTACTGTAAACGCGAATACTATGCGAAGCTATTGTAAACTGCATACATATTGCACCGGTTGAAAGATAAAAGAAATTTTTTAAACTCATGCCATAATTGCTGGCTAACCAGTGCCACGTGGAGGTGGACAAATAACACGGTGCCCGTCGACGATAAAATTAATTAGAAAATAGTACAACGATTACTGGACATAATTGTCCGACGTTAGATTGCGTGCGAAAAAATATTGCACTCTGTCAGGAGACAATTTTTCAAATAATACACTTCATTCCGCATTTTCTACATATAAAAAATGTTTCCACATACTAACAACGGTTTTATTAAATGTTGCCCTATTTTTGTATTAG